CTCTCATTCCTCCCCGCCCTCCTTTGCCTCGGGGTCGCCAAAGTGATCCGAGTTTAACCAGTGGAAGGAGATAAGGGAATCATTCACCTGCCCTGTTCTGATCCATGCGGTATTTTCTGGAAAAATTAGAGGCTTGTAGCTGGAAGAAGAAAGAAAAAAAAGGGGGGAGGGGTGAACGAGGGGGAGCAAAAAAGGAAACAGCCAGGTTGAATTCCCAGTCTTTATCAAGCAATTCGCTCACCAATGACAGAGAGCTGCAGTGGCAGATTCGAGCCACATGCGGTAGTGTGTAGCAATTAGTAGATAAAATGCTGACTAAAGTGCTAAAACATGAAGTATTATTGTAGCCAAGGTCAAAAATGCTTCAGTTGTCTTTTGCAATTTGGGGGAGGGGGAGGCCCAGAGGTTCGCAGAGAGGTTTGGATTTTGGAAATGGTCGCCTTCTTTCTTCAAACTGTACTTTTTTTTTTATGGTCCTGTTTATTATAGTCCAAGCTGCCTAATTATGTCACTGCTGGTTTTTGCAACTAACTTAATCCTCCTGATCCTTTATGAAACGATTCATGGACACTGAATAATGAGTCCACCGTTCCCTTGGCCCCTAGAGGGGTGAGACTGATTTTTAATTTTTTATCTTTTAAAAACCACATAGCTGAAAAGAGTGGGATTTTTGGCTAGCTAAGCAGCAGGAATATATATATGTAGGTATAGGTTCCTGTGTTTCAATATGAGAGCCCAGAAATAGTGGATCATATAAACATACACTGCTCCCCCCACCACCACTCCTCTTTTATACACAGTGAGTCCCAGCCTCAAGCTTTTTTATTTTTATAGATAAATAGAGCAGTTGCTTTCATGATTATAACTGTCCTGAATGGATTGTCTCCTTACAACATTCAATCTGTTTATGAGTATTTACTTTACATTAGCCCAGGGACCCTGCACGGCAGGAGTTTGCCTCTATTCCCCTGGGTGTCGGTGTCTCAAGTCTTACATCTGCTCTGTGATTGATGGAGCCTTGAATCCACGTTATTACTCTCTCACAAGCAGAAATCAAACAGGCTATTAACTACATTACTTCAAAGAACTGTTTCAGTACAATCTCCTTATCTTAATTGAAAGTTTCTTTGTATGGATATTTGCTACACAGATAATTTACAGGTGCCTATCAAGCATCATACTAAAGAGGTAAAATAAAAGGGGGCTTTTTGGTGAGTTTTTTTTGTAAACACACACCATGGTGATCTATGATTTTAAAAGCCATTCACAGTATTGGACCCGAGGTTTGATTTATTACATTTTATTATGTTCATGGGGATGGTGGTGATGGTGCTGTAAAAAGAGAGGGGAGACACCCCTGTGATTCAATTTTGAAATTTACCATTCATCTGATTGCAAGACTGCAGATTTCAAACATATTCAGACCTAGATCCCTGCAATTGTTAACATCACAAAAACCTTATCGGGAGTTTGCGAGCAGAGAGATTACGCAGCATGCAGCCTAGTTCAGCGCCTACCTTGAGCAGACATAGAAACAGGGTTGCTAATTAGATAAAGTCCCTTACAGATGCTTAAAGACTTATAGCACCACAACAGTAGAAGTTGCTTAGATGCTGTAAAGAGCTGTGTATTTTTTGAGAGATTTAATATACAATTGAGGGATACCCTCAGGCATTCTGTTGAGGTTTCCTGCACAAATGCTGCTGCATTGGTCATACAGGAAACTGACTCAGAGTCGATCTTATATATGATCTTGTCAAAATACTGCAACTCAAGTTTTTTAATATAGGATTACTTGAACTGAATATATGTATTTATGCTAACACGACAGACTAACTGAAGCCTTAGGCATCTCTCATGTATTTAAAAAAATATGTAAAATGCCCCTCAGTCAAGTCCATTCATATGTTAAAAAAATGAACAAAATGGGTTATTCTAATCAAATGTCTGCAGTATGCATCATAAAGTTAAAAAGAGAGAGAGCAGAGCAGGAGAGCTGTAATTTCTCTTTATAACCCATGTTTATAAAATAGAAAGATCAGATGAAATTTCAAGGAAGATAATTAAAGAGTGATGTGCAAGTCATAATTTGGCTAATGGAAAAGCTGGGAGACTGTGAATTGTTATATTGTCCTCCTTCATGATGCAGAGTTGTGATATTACTTTAAATTATTAAAATAGTTTTCGACATCTTTCAGAACACCGGCTGTTTGGCATGGGCTTTTATTACTTATTGTAATTGGAGGATCTGCCATTTTCTTCCGTTTATCTCTGTGTGTATAGGAACGAGATAGATCTTGCCTTTTATTACTTCCCCATGTTCTGAATCAAAAATGTGGTTTAGATAATGTTAAGTGCCCTAATTCTTACTGCAGCGGACGCAGACGTTATGAAAAGGCATAAAAATACACACAGAGGGTCTTTCCACCTCAAGTCAACTGAATATTTGTGCTCTGCCGGGTGCATTAACTTCAGCCATGTGAATATAATTTTCATTAAAGTAATCCTGTTTCAACTAGATGCTGTGACTAGAGGTGAAACGTTGCGAAAGCGTTAAAAATAGCTTACTAGTAATTTCAACATCCTGTAATTTTATCACAGATCAAGTTTCAACTGTCATACTATACAGACCTTATTCCCCATATAGTACATGTTTACTTTTTTAGCACGCCAGACCCACTTTGGAAAGATTGGTGCCAATATAATAAAATCATCGGGGGTGGGGGGTGCTGGAAGGAGTGGGAGGAGAGCGGGGGAGCGGGTGGGGGAGCGCGGGGGAAGCGAGTACACCATTTTACATCAACACTGCGAAAATGCAATCTAGCCTGGCGGAGGACCGGCAGCTGGGTCGGAGCGAGCGAGCGAGGGCTTTGCAGTCTCTGCCTGTTCCTTGTTCTGTCGCTCTTAAGTTTCTCTGTGTTTGCATAATAGCCGTGCATGCAAACCTCGCAATTCTCCAGGGCTCCAGAACAATAAATATACACATTTAAAGCCTTTATTGTCTTACGGTTCATGCCCCCGGTTTTCAACAGCTTAATTTCTGGTGGTATTTAACTAGTTGGCAAATGGATTTTTTTTTTTTTTTCAGTTTCCAGGGCTCCAGAACAATAAATATACACATTTAAAGCCTTTATTGTCTTACGGTTCATGCCCCCGGTTTTCAACAGCTTAATTTCTTTTGGTGTTTAAATATTTGGGAAATGGATTTTTTTTTTTTTTTCAGTTTCAAACTATTATTGAGGAAGCTCCCCCTCCCTCTTTTGGCGGGGGAGGGAGTGGGGGTGGGGTAGGAGTCGGTATATTATTCCTGTAGCGCTGGGTTATATAAACACATTATCATTTGAGAGCGCCCTTGGCGTCCATCAGCATTGTAAACACGTACTAGTGTATATACTTCAAAATTAAAGAATGCACATGCAGAACCGGGAGCCTGAATTCATATTCCGAGCAGACTCGCTGCTCGCATTTATTGATTTATCATGCATCGTTTATTGTTCCAGTCCCTAAATGCAGTCTCTGTCCGTTCAATATTGTTGGCAAAATCCTGAGATGTGTGTGCATTGCTCACTTGTCTTTCTGGTCTTTTTATTTATTTATTTTATGCTGAGTTTTTTTTTTTTTTTTGCGAAGCGAACAAATGCATTAATATTTATATGTTTATATAATCGATAACCCACTTTCCCCTTCCATGTAAATAGGCATCAAAAGATAATTTAACAGATTAGTTCTCGAAAACATGGCAGTGAGGAAGCGTAATTTAACTATCAAACAAATCTACATGTCTAATAACAGCAAATCTGCTAAGGAGCATTAGAAAGAGGAGCAGCGCCCCGGAATCTCTGCAGGAAATGTTCTTTATATTAGACATATACAAGCAGGTCCTGTCAGATGCACAGCGGAGCTCGTCAACTCTCGTCTCCTCCAAAAATCTCATCAGCCGACACCCATAGACAAGGGAGATGGGGCAGAGGGAGATCTCATCTTCACACAGTTTTGGGGTGGATTTTATTTTTACAGACCTTCCTATATGTTTTTTGCCTTGATCCATCCGCTTCCCGCCGAGATCGGACGGAGCCTTTCTCCCGGTTATGAATTTGATCAACCTACATTTGGAGGGAATCCTACACAGTTTTGACAGGAGCTTAAAATTGAGTCGTCAGAGAAATATTAGGACATATTTTCAATCATTTTGGTGCCGAAGGGGAGGCAAGAACTCAGTTTTATATTGAGACATTACGCCGGCTGAAGACAGAGAATGTTTTTCCCTGCCAGGACCTGATGCAATCCATTCAAGCCAACAAGTTTGGAGAGAATGTTGAGTTCAATCAATTCAGAACGTCGAGATGGAGCCCAACTCACTCCAGGTATTTCGCTCTCCTCCGCTCCTCCGATCCCGGCACCCCTCGGAACCCCCCAGCCCCCCAGCTCACCCACACCTCTACACCCACCCACACCCCCCACAAACTTTTCACCAAACTTTTACCCTCTGCATCCCCCCAAATCATTTTTATTGTTTAAAAAAATCCCTGCACTGATCATACATACATAATGTAATTTTACCGCCTCCGATGGAGAGGTAGGGAGAGGTGGCGGTGGGGGGGCCCGGAGGTTTTTTAAAAAAAATTTTTTTAAGGGAAGCAGAAAATTTGTGGGGTCTATTATTTTTACACCCAGCTTTATATCTGATGGCTCTTCTGTATTAAGAGTGTGGATGTCTGTGTGTAAATGTGTCTGGAAATAGATGTTTGTGCTCTGATGGCTACATTATTTATTTGGTGCTTTTTTTTTTTTTTTCCCCCTGCAGTGGGTCGGCTCACCGTGTGGCTTGCACGGACCTTACATTTTCTACAAGGCTTTTCAATTCCACCTTGAAGGCAAACCAAGAATTTTGTCCCTTGGCGACTTTTTCTTTGTAAGATGTACGCCAAAGGATCCGATTTGCATAGCGGAGCTCCAGCTGTTGTGGGAAGAGAGGACCAGCCGGCAACTTTTATCCAGCTCTAAACTTTATTTCCTCCCAGAAGATACTCCCCAGGGCAGAAATAGCGACCATGGCGAGGTGGTAAACTTATATCTCCCTCTCTTCTTTCTTTATTATTTCCCCCTCGTAATGCTTATTACAGGGCAAGCTTGAAAATACTGTATTCACTTCTGCAGGCGAGCAGGATCGACTCCTTTTTTAAAGGGGTAGCGCCACTAGCTGGGGCTCGAGTATTTTGCCATTGTCAGAGTTTGGCTGTCAGCTTTACAAAGAGGATCCAACTGCTGATTTTAGTCAAGATCAGATAACTTGTTCGAGAAGGGTTTTGTTCAAGGATGTGTGTGTGTGTGTGTGTGTGTGTGTGTGTGTGTGTGTGTATTGGGGGGGATGCC